TTTGTAGCGTGTACTCAGCTGGCAGGCTCCTCTCACATCATAATTGGGGGGGCGGGGGGGATAGAAAGCCATGGCAACTAATGCAGGGTTGAACCATGGCCATTCTTCCATAGCACAGTAGTCACCGGGTTGCTGCCTCTGTGAGATCTGAACATATCTTGAGCAGCCCCCCCCCCCCGCCCCCAATCCTACGCAACTGTGTTTTTACACACACATATTTTGGATGCGTATTCATATTCACACTTCCCTTATCTGTGAATTGCTTTCTGGTGGGAAGGTTATTGTTGTGGAAAGGTTAGCAAAACACAATGTCCTGACTGCACATGGCCACAGGGCCTGAGAAGGCTTTCAGGACGCTATTTTGTTTTATTTCAAGTGAGTGCGCGTTCATTTTTCTATCTAGTGGTCCAAAGAGTGCTATGGCGCTGTGAAATTTAGGTCTCCCTTTTTGTGTCACTAAATACGACCGCCAAAGTGCATTGAAGCGAATAAAATACCACCATGCTGTCGCTAAACAAAGTAAAATGAGCACTTTTTTTTTTGTTGTGTGTGATTCTCCCGCAAAAGTGTACCAATGATGACGACCCGCCTACAGCAATCATATGTTTAGTGTTATACAAAGAACAGTTGAAATGGCAGTTAAGAAGGCAACTAAATATTTTATGTAGGTGACAGTAGGATTCCTATGGAACAGGTTTATACTAAAAAAACAGTCATAATGGTTTATATATTTTTTTTTACTTCTTTTTTTTAACATATCGTTAAAACTGCTGTCAAGATTTGAATGTTTTCTCTTGCAATATTCAGTATTTTATTTGGCTTTTGGCTGGAGTGGCTCGCAACTGCTTTCGACCAAACTTTGTCCAGGAAATCATATTTCCGCCTTGTGAGTTAGCAGGAAATGAACAGTAGGAGTCAGTTGATATTTAGCCCATTGTCCTCTCACTGACGCTGTTGTGTGCAAATTTTTTTTTTTTCGCAATTAACTTTCCCTGGCAGCATTTACAAGCCACTTGTAGTAGTCTCTTTTCTTTAGCCACATGCTGCACCTTTGTGCATTTTTAGTCCCCTCAAATTGTACATCATTCATTTCCTCATACCAACTCCAAAGCATGTCTTGCATGTCTCACGGCTCTTCTTGCTTGTGCCCCTTAGAATAAAGTGGTCGACGTCGACAACCTGAAAGTCAAACTCCAGGTGAGCGAGTGCGCCTTCCCTCTCCCATATTTTGCAGCACACGTGTATCACCCGAGCAGTCCCGACGGATGATGGCGGACTCATCTGCGAGTGTTTACAAATTGAAGGGACTACAACCGGGTTTCTTCGCACAAAGGCACCCGGTCGTCTATCCTCATAACCTGTTTGTTGAACAGCAGTAGGAGGTGACAGAATTAGATACTTCTGCGGTAGCTGGAGGCTTCACCTCTTGTCTCTCCCATGGTTCCTGCACATCTTGCATCATACGCTGCCGTTAATGCGGAATTCAACGCCCACGGAGAGTTGAAATCATTTTGTGTGGCAGAAGGATGCAAAACCACATTTGATTTGAAAAGCGCAATTGGCGACAGTCGACGGTCGACGCCACGTGTTTGTCTTTAGATCTGATGGCAGGACGCGTTCTCAATATAACCGTGACCATGAAAATATTCGTATCTTAGCGCAGACTTTGTGTGAAGTGATTTGGAATTCATCGGCCGTGATCGCAAAAAAAGGATAAGTGCCATTCAGCAGACTGATGTCAGCAAGTTGGCTTTTACTGGATTTGGGCAACAGACAGTCTATGAGCCATCCTGGTACATTCCTCCGTCGGTCGTTTGCAGTTTGGCTTGTTCAGTAGGGCAGCATTTCTGTTTGCGTCACTGTGTAATTATGTGGCTTGTTTCAGATCTGGGATACAGCCGGCCAGGAAAGATTCCGAAGCGTGACACACGCCTACTATAGAGATGCCCAAGGTAACCTTTACTTGTTTAGTCTACTTCCTCATACTGTTTGTGTGTGTGGGAGCGACCTTTCTACAAAGTAAGACATGCACTCCTTTTCAAAGAGATTGTGTGTCTTTTCCTCTTTTTTACAGCACTACTTCTGCTTTATGATATCACCAATAAGCCATCATTTGACAATATCAGGGTAAGATTTATTTTTATTTTTTTAGGCTATGCGCTCCCTTTGTATTGTAAACTTCCTGTTTCGAAAAGCCCCTTTACAAACCACAATGAGGGCTTCCATTCCCTCTTCCTCCACCGGAAGCGGCACAATGTTATCAAAACAGGCCGGTTTAGATCATGAAAAGCAGTCAAAGTGTTCCTCGGTGGCTCGTTCTCACAGCGATTGATTGATGGGCGTGCCCCCGGGGAAACGAGCACGATGGAGTCTTGAGATATTTGTTTGTAAATGTGTCACACATCACTGCTGTCTTCTTCCACTTTTGAAAGGCTTGGTTAAATGAAGTACATGACTATGCCCAGAAGGATGTGGTCATCATGTTGCTCGGCAACAAGGTGAGCAAACCTTTCTTTACTTTTTGTGTTACACAAAAGGAACGGGAGGATAACTGTGCCATCACTTACTCCTCATATGCATGTTCGGAAAAATGCTCACATTTGAACACATGAAGCTCAGTCTTCTTTGATGCGTGAAAACACAAAAGCAGCCCGTGACATATTCGAAACAGCACTATCATGAATTCAGAATCCCTTGCTGGAAACCATTTTCTCCACAATGCGTCTGATGATGACGAGTCTCCTTGCTGCCAGCAACAGTCGTGAACGAATCTGTTAAAAAGGCGCCCTCTAGTGGTTGAGAGTGGACTTTCTGCTCGGGGGAGTGGAGGGGGGGGGGGCATGTCATGTCAATGAGGCTTATTTGTGTTGAGAGAGCAGCTGGGATGGCGGCGTCTGTCCTCCACTGGAAGTGAAGTTTGGAACACTCCTTCGTTCAGCGGGAGCTTTGGTTCGGGAACATCCTCTTAGCGGGCAGACATACAAGCAGGGCTGCCGCATAAGAGGATGAGCCGCGCGCCTGGGCCGACATTGTGGGCCCTACCTGCTCTGTAACAAAGAGCTCAGTGACTCTATGACCTCTAACCTCCAACCTTGGCCCAATATCTTGTTTTTATCCTGCCGCCTAACAGTCAGACATGGCCGCAGAGCGGGTGGTCAAGACGGAGGATGGCGAGAAGTTGGCTAAGGTAAGGTTGCCCTTGTGGAGGAATGGCCGAAGATTCCCACAGACACACAGCACATTACGGTGAATAGTCTCAAAAGCGCATTTTTTGTTTTCGTTGAAGGAATATGGAGTGCCATTTATGGAGACCAGCGCAAAGACCGGCATCAATGTGGAGCTGGCCTTTCTAGCGATCGCAAAGTAAGTGTTAAAGCTGCTTCACGGTGTTTTGGCACGAATATCCAAGACCAACTTCAACACCCAAACAGTTGGTACAGTTCTCAAAAAAAAAAAGTGTCAGTGTCAGGAAGCTTGCTCTCAGCTGCATGTCACAGGTCAGTTTCACGTGTATGCAGACATCCCTCAGTACATCGCTGATTGCTTATGCGCGTTCATATTATTGCTTCCCCCACTGCACCCGCCTTTGTTTTTTCTATACAATACAGTTTCTCAACTGCATGTCTCAGGTAAAGCATCCATTGTTGGCTTATTGAATGTAGCCGACCACAGCTAATTAGTTGTAATCCATAACCGGCGGTTTGAGCACACCTGCCACCGGCGTCGGCTGTACGCCACGAAATTCACAACCATCCATTTATTTTTGTTTTCATACATCCACATCACTCAGCTGAATTGATCCGCCTTTTAAAAAGGGACACACACATTCAGTAATAGAAACTATCGTGAGGAATGTGTGGACCTTCACCTCACATGCATATACTGTATCAATTCATGACGATGAAGAGAATGCCCGAAACCTCAAAATATTTACAGTACTTGTCCGTACAGTACCGATACTTTCATCTATTGAGGCTGAATTTAAATGCCAAGAAACGTCAAAAGCTCATCTAGAAGGAAAAACGCTTTGTCAGTGGTTGTGATGGTGAACATTTTCCAGATCCCATGCACTCAGAAACAAGGATGCTGTCTATAAAAACAAATAAAACGATTGCAAGGGGCTGTTATTGTCATGTCGCAATATGAGGAAGAGCATATACAGATTAACAGTACGCGGGTTCACAATTACAATTGTCCTTGGAGGGCAACCATAACTCGGCTGTGATTAAGTTTGACCCTCCGTCATTAGATTGCGCAAGGATAACAACGTTCTGGCGGATGAGTGGACATTTTGCTTCGAAATGAGGTTTCGCGAAACAAAGAACAGATCTCTTGTTGGAGCCCGCTCTCGCGTGCGTTTTCTGTTTTCATTTCTCAACCCATCCCTTATATACTCGATTTGCTCCATCCTACCGCTCATCCGCCCCCTCGCTATCTGACTTCCTCTCGTTCTCTCTCTTTTCCTTTTCGTTCTTCCAGGGAGCTGAAGCACAGAACCACACAACAGCCAAACGAGCCCAAGTTCCAGCTCCTCGACTACATCGAATCTCAGAAGCACAAGACCGGTTGCTGCAGCCTTGTGTAGCTAAAGCCGACACTGGGCTGGGAGACACACATACACACACACACACAAACACAGACGGGGATCAAGACAGAGGGTGGGAGGGGGGGGTGGATAAGTAAAGCCAATCCCGGCACTAATCCTAAGAAGTGAGCGTCCTCCTCTTCTCCACTCTACTGAATGACAGTGAATCCGATTGCCATCCCTTATCAAAAATGTGAATATCACTCTGTAGAAACGTGTTGTGCTCTTTGTGGTGACAGTTGTGATCAAACGAAAAAGCCAGATTTGACAAAAGGAAAACGCTAGATCCGTCTGCAGGGATAACGTAGAGCTTGGTCAAGTTTTATACGAACAATCAATATGACTGTTGATTAGGGAATAGAATGACTTTGTCTTCATGTCACATTTCAGAGGCTGTGAACTCAATCCCTTTTTTGGCCTTAGTCTTAATCTTCGCCTAGTGTGCAGACGGCGTCCGAGTCGAGCTGTAGCTACATCTCCACATGCGTAATGTTGTTACAATAAAATCAATGGTTGCAGGGCTCCTGCCCGGTGTGTGTGTGTGTACACACGATACCTTGAGGCTCATACCTGAATTTTATTCAATGATTTGCTGCAGGATCTTTTCATCGTTGCACCGGAGATTATTTCCTGCCCTGCTTCGAGAGTCCCCAAAACGTTTACTGTACATCCTTATTTCACAAACACTCTGAAACGTAACCGTGTCACTTTTTAACAATCAATGTTGTTGTGGAGACTGTACAGAAGCCGTAATTGTTTCATGCACTGTATTGTCTTGATTTGTACAATGTTCATTTTCAATGTTTGCTTGTCACATGTGTTCCTTCTTGGAGGTGTCATGGTGATCACAAAGTGCCATGGAGAAAAAAAAAGTGCTTTGTTATCATATTCTATATATATATAAAGTATATTTTGTAATGTATGTGGTGCTGGTTTCTACAAGTGTGTGTGTGTCATGATTAAGGTATTTTGAGCGAAAGCTGTGGGAGTCAGGTTGTGCAGAGGTCAAAAAGCCACAGCGTGGCAGCAGCGAGCCTGTTTATTTTGTGCAACCTCAACGTGTATAAATGTTCAGTATTTGCAGGCCACAGTGATGATTCTGCATTCTTTCTGTATCTTAGCACGATGCGTGATATCTCGATTGCGATGGTGACCGAGGTTCTATACCCGGATTGTATGAAGTGAAGGATGCGGTTGAGTTTGTAAACATGGCGCACATCTGTGATTCACTGTAGCAGCCTTCGCACCTCCTCCTCTACCTCCTCCTCCTCCTCCTCTCACATCTACCGTATGAGTCAGTGTGCATCAGCTTGCGTGGACTTTCACAATCCTTTACCTCTAATCAGCTGAACCACGAGCTGCACTGCTTTAAGCACGCGTACTTATCTGTGCTGATTCTCCAGCAGGTTGACATTTCCAACGGTGGAGGTTGGTGTGCTTGTTTGTGCCCCCCTTATCAGCTCTCTCCATGGAAAATATTTTGGGGGAGTTTCTGTCCAAATGTATGATGCAGTGAGGCCTGCGGGCACACAATCCAGTTTTTAAAACTATTAAATGATAAATGACCGTGTTTCTCTAGTTTGTGAACGTGGAAAAATTATTATGGTATCTATCTGTTCAGTTAGTGGTGACAATCATAAAGTAAAAAAACAAAAACAAAGCAGGATTACAATCTAATCCACTGTAAAAACCATGCGCTAAAATATTTTTGGGACACGATAGAAAGTTGGAGCCTACAGCCTAATGTTACTATGTTGTAGTGTAGAATGCAGTCCATCCCACTGCGACATGTTTCTGTAATATTTTTAATTTTGGTTACCTCACGGCAGTATATGATACGAGATCAATACTACACCAAGCAAAAGTGAACATTATTCGCAGCGTTAGTTTTTGTCTTGTATCCGCTTCCGTGGTGCAAGTGTACCGAATGAAACAACCGTTGACCAGTTTCCTATAGCTTCGCGACTGCTTTGCATGAAGAGGCCAGCTGGGCTGGTCCGTGAACGCACCTCCCTCTTCCTGACTGGACTTTCTACTTGGGCCGTGCAGAGTCTGCTGACGGAGTTTTTGGACCGGGACCTTCGCTCCACGCCGCAAGCGGGTCACGCAGAGGACCAACAGCCCCAGTCAGACTTTGAACCCGTTACTCGGTGAAAGTGGAGGGAAGAAAAGTGCGCTCGGCTATTTGTTCGAAGCGCTCTCACTTCTTCGTTTGACGCTCTCCGCTCGGAAAGGAGAAGCAGGCAAGCATCCCTCCAGGTCGCTCTTCGAGTCTTTTCCACCGGGTATCGAGCAACAGGTTGAGTCGCGGGTGAGAGAAGCAGACGACCATGCCGAGTAAAAGCCAGTACCTGCGGCCCCGGCTCTGCACGCTGGATAAAGGCGACAACGGCTACGGCTTCCACCTGCACGGGGAGAAGGGCAAGACCGGCCAGTTCATACGGCTCGTGGAGCCAGATAGCCCGGCGGAATCGTCGGGGCTCCGCGCCGGAGACCGCCTGGTGTTTGTCAACGGGGACGACGTGGAGAACGAGAGCCACCAGCAAGTCGTGGGCCGGATAAGAGCCACTTCGGGGCGGCTGGAGCTCGTCGTGGTCGACCCGGACACGGAGCAGCTGCTGAAGAAGCACAACATCAAGTGTCTGAAGGAGTACGTCGAAGACGGGGTCCCGCTGCCTTTCGAGGATGAAGAGGAAGCTGAGAAGCACCGAGACGAGCAGGACGAGGACAAGGGCTCGGAAAACGGAGAGGAGCGGCGAGCCGGCGGCGACGAAGCGGAGGAGGGGCGAAGCGGACGGTCCAGGGGGAGCACACCCGAACCGGACAGGAACGGAGAGATTCACGGCGACGTCGAGAGGAAGCTGAGCGTCAATTCAGACAAGGTGAGTCGCATCAGCAGGTACAGATGGAAAAGAAAAGATTCTGACTTTACGCTACGTTGACAGAGTGCAAGTGTCTGTCATGGACACGCAGAGGTGGCAAAAGTAGTCGCACTCTGTACTTCAATAGAAATACACAACTGTGTATTTTAAAAAAAAGTACTTTAGCATAAATAAACACACTGATATGATCTCAAATTCAAAATTAAGATTGTATTTTTACTGTTAATTGTATCCAATAGCTGTTTAACAACGATGGGAAAAACGTTCCTGCACATAAAATAGTTTCCTTGTTGTGTTAACGCCCTATAATTACATCGTGTTAATACTAAGAAGAAACAACTGAAGAAAATGCTGATTACATACAACAGTTTATAGTGTCCAAATTCGTTATTTGTCTTATAGTGCATGTGTTGTGGCAGGTGTGTGTGTGTGTGTACAATAAACACAGAAGCTGGCAAAGTCGAGGTGGAAAAGTCTCAGGTGACGTTTTGGAGTGAATCCTGCAAATGAGATTAAACGCTGAGAGCGACGTGAAGAATAACTCCTCTGTGACACTAACGTAGGGAGCTGCACCCACATGCTCTTGGCCGTGGGCAAGCTGGCTGGACATTTGCTGTGGGTGCTGCGATAGGACAAACAACATGGATCCCAGAAACAGAACTAGGGCTCATCAACTTCCTCCTCTCTAATATTTTGGAAGATTGAAGTTTTTGCCTTGCATCTGTCTTCAATTCACATCCCGAAAGAAGCCACTTTTTTTCACTTTGTCCTGCCAATGGACGGCAACCAATTGGGGCTGCTCGGGTTACCCGTGACTATAACGATTGGCCTCATACAGAGAATTGATGGCCGGATGTACGAAGAGACACCACTCGGTTCATGTTTGTACTCATCCAAGACAAATGTTTTGCAATGAAAAACAAACCACAAGAGCAGGATAGCCTTATTGTCTCCATAATCTCCTTAAATCACACTTGATTAAAAGACTTTGAATCTTTGTTTGTATGGGCACATTCTCCCTCCGCAGTGGCCACTTGTTGCTGAGGTTGCTCTTATTTTATCTTCTTCCCACACTTGTTTGTGTGCATGTGCGTGTGAGGTCGTGAACACAGCATTGGGGTTCATTTTAAAAAGCACTACATGAGAAGCGTCTCCAGCCGCTGTGGGACATCTGTGTTCCGCTGCGTTCTGGATGTTTACCCCTTAGGCTGTTTGTGTCTGTCTCTGTCTGCGCCCCCCCGTTGGCTTGCATCAATGGTGATATGTGGATGAGGGGCCAAAATGTCCACAGCCAGCAGCAAAATGTGTCCTTTCCTTTTGTCTCTTCAATGTCACTCGCCAGCGTAAAAACATACAGTTAGATGCTCGCGGTGTAACAGTCGATCAGCAAAGCATAGTCATTTATTGATTGAAATCATTTAAAATGCTCAAAGTACATCTCAGTTATAGTGTAGTCATCACATTCACCAACAAGGTTTCTTCATTTGTAAGTTCGCATGATTACACAAAAAGCTACTTATTGAGGAAATTGCTTAATTTCCTCAATAAAAAGAAAAGACATGCCGAGGGTGAACCTTCCCTACAGATTTTCTTTAATTCCAAAAAAAAAAAAGTGCTTATGTTTTGTTTCGGTCTGGTTACGTTTGGTTTTGATTCCCTTGATTGCCCTTTTTTCGCCACCTGTTGTCGTTATCACTGTCCCTTGGGTGTAACCAATTAGCTCCCTCAACCCTTTGTGTCTTGTCCAGGTGTTTCTCGTTGTCTCGTCACTTAGCTTGTAATTAGTTCCCTGAGTTTCTGTCAGTCTTTGTTGGCTCATTGTGAGCTGTGATTATTAGATGAGCATATGTGTGCTCCTGTCATGTTTTGTTTCCTGTCTTAGTTTTGTTTGTTCCTCGTGATTTCCAGGCATTTTTTGAGTACTTTGACTTCGTGTTTTTTCCATTGTACTCCTGTGTGTATATTTTGTTCAATACATTTTGGTCAATCCACCCTGCTCCTCCCTACCTCTCTGCTTTTTGGGGTCCTCCAACTACCAAAACGTGACAGCTTGCGGTGAAATTCTATTTGGACGTGCAAAGCAAATTCGAAGAAAGCAACAAATATTTAAAATTAGGCATTAATTACATGAGAAAAAAAAAACTCAGTTTTTTTTTTTTTTGCCCCAATAAATCTTCTTAAAGGAAACGTACATAAATGACTCCTCTCTCTCGACACTGTGATTGTAATCTGAGTTACACACGCGAAAAGAGAACAGAATTAGTTGTCGGGAAGCAGAAGCAAACAACTTTTACACTACATACACTGCAGGCCTGTTTGTTCTTTTCTGGTTCATTGTTGATTGCAGTATTTGACAAAAATGGCATCTGGTTCATGCTTTGCCCAGCTGGAACTGATATGTTCGAATGTATAATATGAATGAATTAATCAATCAATCAAAATGTATTGAACAATCAGAAAGAAAACGTTGAGGTGAACTTGATGAGTTAGTGGGTCTTCATTTGTCATGGCGAAAAGCAAAACTGTTCTGCTACTTGTCTGCACTTGCCAGTGCAGAGCACTACGAGCAACAAAACAAGTATTTTGGGGCTTTGTTCAATGATGACGACAGCGCCTCTTTCATTATTTGGGGGGCCGGTTCAACGCTACATGTCGTGACTTTCATTTTCGCAGGCATTCGCTAGCAGTCTCGCTCTCGATGATAGTACTTTCGTCTTTACATTGAAATACACTGCTCACGTGGTGCGAACGCATCTGCGTAACCGTGGCAACCTGGTAGGATTCTCCAAGAGCTTCCGGAGAGGGCGTTGCTCTTCGAACCCTCTTTTGTGTTGCTTCAAGGATCTGTCCTGGCAGGCGTGCTTGGCTGTCAGTGTGGCCGCTAAACCAGCAGTGTGTGTGTGTGCTGGACGGCAGGATTCGGCCACAGGAAAGTCGGACAGGATGTTGGGAGAAAATGCCGGCCTGCGTAGCTGTAGTAGAAAAACACTCTGAGATGAAAGCAACATGGAGACACTCAAGTCTATGAGTTGAGTTGAATTTCTCCTTGTGCACGCTTTACAGAGAGTTTGGCCCCAAAGTATCTTTGTAGAGACTCGCGCGTGCTCCTTACAAATGTCATACAGCAGAAACTTGTTGTGAAAATCCAACAAATGCTTGTTCCGGGCCAAAGGGAATTATACCATTCGGCCATCTGACCGGTGCGTCAAAAGTAAACATGGGAACAAGCAGTGTGTAATCAGACAACATAACCGAGCAGCGCGCAGGTGCAGAGTCTTTGTAGCTTTGTATTTGGAGAAACTAATGTTACAAATAGCTGAAAGCACCTACACGTTTTATTTATATAATTGCTGTGATTAGGCGGTTTGGAGACTCGGAGACCGTTGTCTTTAGTGGTGTTGAACTGCAATGCATCCAGAGAGGCATCATGATGCAATACAAAGTTGATATTTAAAAATATCGAGTGCGCCGTGCGACCTTTGTGTCCGAATCTCCATCCCGCCCCCTCCCTGAGCTTCTTATCTAATGTTATCTTTTTCACTCCTCATTTTCAGCATCTGAAGAAATGCCTTGGGGAAGAGACAGATAAGATTGGAGAAGAACAGAGGCCAAATTTTTGATTTGTCCCTTTAGTGGAGATTAGCGACAGCTACTATAATTCATTTGAGGCTGGATTTTTTTGTAGAGCCTTTCTGTCAGCTCGCTACTGTCTGGGAATCTCTGCCCTTCAAGGAGTGCGCTGGTTTCCCGTCATTGTTATCGGTGGGAGGTGACCCCACCTCGTCTTTTTGATTGTCCTCCTACGCGGCCTCATCAGAGAGATCGTGTGCTGCTTCAGGGCAGCTAATTAGTGACCGCATGTGGAGGTCTGCATGGATATACTGTAGCGCAACTTCCCATCGATGATGTCATCATCTTCTTCACACAGCAAAACCGTTGCACCCAAGCAGAGTTTTGCGCCAAGACACGATGAAGCCCAACTTCACGCTATCATTTCAAGAAATTGTAGGGTTTTTTTTCCCCGTCATTTTGAACACTGACAGGTAGACGGAAACATAACCACATTTTTCTTCTAGTTTCGCTTCCTTTACGTATAATGGTTTGTTGTGCTACTTTGTCATTCTGTAGTCAGGTATTCTCGACTAAATGTACACGGTCTTTTATATGACGATCAAAAGTTATGAAATGGCATGAATAGGAAGACATGTACACCATGTATCACAAATACAGTGCGGTGAACTGAACAGTTGAAGCCCACAGCGACTACGAGCGTTTTGCTGATGGTGTGCTGATTTTGCGCCTCCACTGCACTGACACAAAACACATAAAACAATAAAAGGTGAACAGATACAGATACGGGCAGGTTAAATAGCCGTGCGACCTTTGTGTCCGAATCTCCATCCCGCCCCCTCCCTGAGCTTCTTATCTAATGTTATCTTTTTCACTCCTCATTTTCAGCATCTGAAGAAATGCCTTGGGGAAGAGACAGATAAGATTGGAGAAGAACAGAGGCCAAATTTTTGATTTGTCCCTTTAGTGGAGATTAGCGACAGCTACTATAATTCATTTGAGGCTGGATTTTTTTGTAGAGCCTTTCTGTCAGCTCGCTACTGTCTGGGAATCTCTGCCCTTCAAGGAGTGCGCTGGTTTCCCGTCATTGTTATCGGTGGGAGGTGACCCCACCTCGTCTTTTTGATTGTCCTCCTACGCGGCCTCATCAGAGAGATCGTGTGCTGCTTCAGGGCAGCTAATTAGTGACCGCATGTGGAGGTCTGCATGGATATACTGTAGCGCAACTTCCCATCGATGATGTCATCATCTTCTTCACACAGCAAAACCGTTGCACCCAAGCAGAGTTTTGCGCCAAGACACGATGAAGCCCAACTTCACGCTATCATTTCAAGAAATTGTAGGGTTTTTTTTCCCCGTCATTTTGAACACTGACAGGTAGACGGAAACATAACCACATTTTTCTTCTAGTTTCGCTTCCTTTACGTATAATGGTTTGTTGTGCTACTTTGTCATTCTGTAGTCAGGTATTCTCGACTAAATGTACACGGTCTTTTATATGACGATCAAAAGTTATGAAATGGCATGAATAGGAAGACATGTACACCATGTATCACAAATACAGTGCGGTGAACTGAACAGTTGAAGCCCACAGCGACTACGAGCGTTTTGCTGATGGTGTGCTGATTTTGCGCCTCCACTGCACTGACACAAAACACATAAAACAATAAAAGGTGAACAGATACAGATACGGGCAGGTTAAATATTAGTCAAGGTTCAAAGTAAACAGAAATTCCAGCTGATAGCGTCGTGTTTGTTAGGTTGCGTGTTACTTAAGCGGGCATTGTTCGCGTTTTGCGATTGCATGACGTTGAGTTGTGTGTGAGTGTGTTGAAAGGGCTGGAGTGTGTTCATGTGGTTGCGCGCATTGTGCGTGTGCTGGTGTCTTTTTGTGACTTCACGTGCGCCTGATAACGTTGAGGAGTCGCTTTGTTGAGTGTTGCCTTTCAGAGCAAATGCTCCATATGATCCCACCTTCTAATTTGATTAAATAGTGATTCAGATGGTTACTGTATTGATACTTATTTGTCAAAAAAAACAAAAACGTAATACCCTATCTTTGCTGTTATTGATTTTTACATTCCATGATGTGGATTGTGGACATCACTACAACAAAATATGATGTTAATAATTCAACATTTGCCAAGTGAATTTGTCCAATAAAGCATTCAAGTGAATGCTAAGTGGGCTTTCAGTTTTCTACACTGTCTCCTCATTCACTGATGACGCAGCGTCAGGAGCCAGCGCCATGATCAACTGTTAAATAGTCCAACCGCAAGACGAAGAACTGGATTCAAATGTGATTTTTTTTTTTGTGGCTTTTTAGCAAATCGATGCCATCAAGCAAAGTTTTGCTACAGTGGCACACACAGACGTCCAAGTCAACAATCAGGCCACAAATACGCCGTAGCTGATCAAAGTCACATTCACTCGCGGTATTTAATATTTCACAGTCAAAGCCTGTAAGAGGCGAGTTCCCTCTGTGAAGTAGGTACGAGATGCTTTCGCTGCCAGCAGGCAACGCGCAACCTTTAAATGAATGAAGAACTTTGGTGCAAGAGAACCGAGAAAACTCATTCTGGATTCTTATGAATAAAAGAACAATCATGCTTGAGTGCCGTTGAGTAACAGTCGAACTTGGCCGAGAACCGATGACAATATAACCTTTGACCTCGAGGTGAGCTTATGTTCGTCGGATCGTTTTTAAAGTGAATTGCATGTTTGTTTTGCCGTAGGCTGAGGTTTGAAAAATACTCATTATACTGTACATCGCTTTATTGGATCCAATATTACTCGAACACTGTTAAAATAATTTTCATTGCCGCTGTTTAATATGAAGACGGCTTTTCAGTTGTCACAGCATGGCAGAATGACCGTCATGAAAAATAATGCCCGTGACTCATATCGTGCAAGTGCGCTGTTCACCAAAAGAAATGTTTTGGCGAAACATTCAAGGCAAGCAGCTGGCTCCATTTGTCACGTATGCAAATCATAATGCGCCGTGTCACTAATACGTCTTAGTGACGCCCGTCCAAACAACAGCCCCACTGTGCTGTCATGAGTCCAAGGCCACTGTGGCCCAAGCAGGGACTGAAACCTGGGCCTTGTGTCCGTGTGTGTAAAAGTGTGTGTGTGTGTGTGTGTGGGTGGGTGTGTACGTGTGCTTCTGGTGACAGTGATTTTGTCGCTACCGGAGCGAGAGTCCACAATGCCACATTCCATTCTGCTCAAGGTTCACCACCCCGGCCGGACAATAAGCGGGAGGGCCGCGCCCCACCGGGGGTGGAGGGGGAAATGACTTGCTGCTCACCCTGAAATAGACTCACCCCTACTTGTCCCGCTCCATTCCCACCAAGCAATAGTGATAATATTGTCCCGTTACCCCCCCCCTGCCCCCACCCCACCCGCGCTCCTCCACCCCCTTCCATTTTTCAATGTATGCATCAAATGATACGAAGGGCCGTCCGTCTCGTCTTCTGTCTTCTGTCCGTCGATGAAAAATTCCATGGGGGCGTTCATATTAGAGAAGTGGGCACTCGGCGTCACAGGCGGTAGCCACGTATCGAAATGAAGTAACTGCTGTCAGGTTGATCTGAGTTGTGGTTGTGATCTTGAAGGTCAGATAGGGACTTTGTATGGGGGATTTTGCTCTGCAGGGGGACAAGAAGCCTGGCTTGGAAGATAAAATTCACTGTTTGAGAGGACTCGGTTGTCAGTCAGCGGCAGGTCATCTAAATGTGTTTTTAAAAAAAAAAAAGAAGACGCGTGCTGCTGACTTTGATACAAGGCAGGACCTGCAAGGGGATCTTCGAGATAGTCCAGACTGTTAATCAATATCCCCTCTTTTATCTTATTACAGTCTTTATCTCTGCTTTGTTGACTGATATTGTTTGTCTACTTTCAGCCCCCCCCCCCTCGTGTCGATTGTAACGGGAACCCTCTCGAGAATGTAGCTTTGGTAGCCTTTTGTGGAGTTTGTCCCATCACGGAATGGAAGTTGGGGACAGTAGCTTGCTTTGTTTTCCCTCCTCTGCCTGCCTCCCATCTGGTCCAATGGTCCTGCTTGAAATACAACACCCCCGTCCTGGCCGGGAGAGTGGTGCGCTCCATGCACTCTTGTGCACAAAACCTGCAATGGGACGAGATGTTCACAATAGTGATTTTTGTGCGTTGGTCATCTGTGCCAAATCGACACGTGACCAACATAAGGCCCATGAGCCTGCTTGATTGGTCATGTCGCGGCGTAACCACGGTGCCTGGCCAAGTGTCACTGTACGGTTATTCTTTATCCGTGATCAAAGGAGCCAAACTTGAAAGAGCGGCACCCCCTCTCAATGAGGGGGCGCGAACGAGAGGAGGATAAGCGAAATCGAGACTTGAAAGAATGACCAGCTGAGCGTGACAGCTTCACCGTCACCGCAGTTTGCTGTCGCAGATGCGTTCGCAGAAGGAGGCCAATTTATATTGTAAAATTAAAAAAAAAAAAAAACAACCTCCACTTAGACACAACAGATTTTGTGTGTGTTGGCGGTGTGTGTGGGGTGGGGGGGGGGGGGGTCAAGTATTGGTTTCATGCAAACATTTTGTTAATTGGAATAATCAAAAAACACCAAATATGTTTTTTTGTCCATCTGTTCATAAGTTGGAAAGTTAATTCATGGAGGATGACGAAGAGAAGGGAGTTGCCATGATGGTTCTGAGGTGTGGGTGCGTTCCCTTGATGCCATATTCCAAATGAGCATTTGACTCATGTTTTTGACAGAAAAATTCATTTTCAAATCTCCGTGCGCACTCTGCCAACACAAGAACCAACCCCGTGAATGAATGAAGGCCTCCGCGCGATGAAAATGCAAACTTCAGCTTCTAAGCAGCTCTTTAAAAGCCCGATTCAGAAGCAATCTTGTGACTCGCATGTGTTTGGGGAATATAAAACGAGGCCTGGTATTGTTTCGGAATGATTGGTATTCAACACAACTTCTCCGTTTTTTTTTTTTTAATGCCTTGCAGAAGCGGACATTCAAAGTCCACGCTCTGCTTTCGTTGCCAGGGAGGCCGCACTTGTGCGCTCACTGGCCACTTCATTAGGTACACCTTCACAATCACATCGGCTGCATCAAGTTCAGTTTTGATCCATGTTTTGATGGATGGACGATAGATTTCAAAACATGGTAACCGTTGCGATTGTCGTGACGCTGTATCATATCGAATGCTGTTTCTAGTTTCTTATTGTTGTTTATGGACTCTGTGGGAACATAATCAATAGTATTGTGACCATTTTAACTGCCGCATAAATGTACAGTCGAAGACAAAGTGAAGTTGACACTTTTCTTCCCTACGTGGCAGGAAATTGGTTTCATATTACATTTCCTGTTGTTAACTATTAGTCAGTCAATAATCTATTACCTCTTGTTACAAATGATTGACTCCGATTGAAAATTCCCTTGGTGGTCAATTCTGAATGGACACGACTACGACAACTTAAAAGTTCAAAGTAAGATTCATGTATCGCGTTTAGAAGTTGTTCAATAATGGTCTACCAGTACTTTGCGGTACATGGAATCCATTTTCGAATCCGTTTATCCTCACGAGGGTCGCGGGCGTGCTGGAGCCCATCCCGGCCGTCTCCGGGCAGTAGGCGGGGTTACACAGAACAAAAACAATGAAAAAGTTGTTCTTGTTATTCCCCCCCCCCCTCCCCCCAGCAAGATTCATGGTCATCCTGCTGGTAAATTTTGGCCTCCTGCTGACAAACAAAGCAGCAGAGGACGGTGAACACATGCCCTGGGAGATAGTGAGTGACGGATTAGAAGTGGATTAGGAAAATAATCACTCACTTGCTGCCTTAATTGGATTACGTGTCCTCCCAGATGTTGTCTGATCCCAGTCAGGACATATTGTGGCTCCTCTCGCATTTGGTCGCCTTGTTTGTGTTTTCAGATTTGGTTCCCTCTCCTGAGTTCCATGTTTGTCACACCTTTTGTTCGAAAAAGTTGTGCCAGACATGAAACATTCTGGATATCATTGTCAATGTGCCATTTTCTTTCTTTTTTTTCCTTTTTCTCATCCCTAAACTAAACCTTACCGGTGTCAGGGGGCGTGTGCGCGTGTGTTTCTTTTTTTTCTGCGTTTAGAGGGTTTGCATTTAGATTTTGCTTTGATGTCAGGAAGTTGGTCAGAGCAGAGGGAAGCATATTGAGAGAAGATGTGTCAACAGTTCCTGTCGAACACTTCCCTCCTTAGAGGGAAAGTTTTTGTCACTGCGAGGCGGCTCCTCTCGAAACAATGCTCTTCCGCACGATAGAAAACTTCAATACATGGCGTTGAACTCGAAGGGCGGTCGATGCTCTGTTGGTACAACAAAATGCATCGCGTGAACGATCGCTTCCTCGTCCAATCGAGATTAGCCGGTTGAATAGTGCACGTGACCCGTTTAGTTCAGATATCAGGGTTGGAACCGCCAACGCGGAGTAAACATTTTTGACGGGCCGAGACGTTCAAAGTGCCTCTAGATACGTTAGAATTTACTTCAAGAGTGTTTAGCCGACATTGGCAGTTCCATGCTTCCCGAAACGCAAGTCACACTAAGCACTAAAACGAAATCCACCAGAGTCTTCATCTGCCTTCCTTCCTTTCGAGCGTCAGGCCCGCTGAAACAAATTGTCATAAAAAGGCTCCTTGGCCCTGTGAAAGCACGTCAACGCTGCACACGCAGTGGGGGAACATCACTTTGCGTGCCTTTCAGCCCGAGATAAGGTAGCCCCCGATGTCAGTTGACTGTACGTGAAGGAGTTATCCCTTTGGAATATGGGCGGTACCCTCCCTCCGTATTTTGCGCTTGTAACTTGAACGCATCCGGTGCACATCTGAACGACTTCTTAAGTTGTGTTTATCAGATTGTTGCCGTGCACCTGCAATGAGCGCCTCAATAAAGATAACACCAAGGGTAATGAGTGGCTCACCCGCGTCAACATGTCCCTCTCGGTCACCTTCGTGGCTTTTTGTGGGGTCAGCAAATTACACTCGCTGCGGTCCCAATGTTTCTCTCACACTAACCCTCCCAAGAAGAGCACTCATTTGATATACGGGGCACGTTTTATGCACCTCCACCTGTTTTTATCCATCTTGGGGAGCTGTTTTTCCGTCTACTGCCACCTACTGTCCACTGAAAATGACTTCACCAAGCAAACAAGTGAGCAGTGGCGGTCGTTAGCTGAGCCTTTAGGCACTGTGATGTCAATTTTCAGTCGACAGGAAGTGACATAATGGCCGCCTCCTTAGGTGGATAAAGACGGATGGGGTGGGTGGGTACAAAGAACATGTTATTGAAAAAGAGCATTTTTGACCTTTGACCTTTAAGTGAAATGAGTGGCAAGACTGTGCAGTTGGATGTTAAAATGTCACTAATGACAAGTCTTTGCTCCCCAAAAATGCTGTACATGAGTAAAACATACTCCATGGTCAAGAAATGTTTGTATTTTGGGAAACTGCGAGATGTAATGGCCTGATCAAATATCGGTACTCAATACTGGCGAGTACTCAAATGTAAGCGCTTTCACTTCCTGACGCTCGCTTTCAAAAAAGTGATAGCGGTGCAACCCCAACTTCTAACTTTGAGGCTAGCCATGCAAGTTAATTTTCAATATAATGACGGCGTTTGTTGTTCCGCAAGGCCACAGCTCAGTTTCGCCCTGATGACACAGTATCGCAAGCAACTGGCGCTTCAGGGCTTTGACGCGCTCTCCTTGTTGCAGATAAAAACAAACAGATTAGCTCGCGGCGAATTGAACATCTTGACTTTGCGGCTGACGGGATGTGCTCCGTCTTACTGTACGTCGTCGAGGCGGTTCTTGAGGCGACAAGGGCTGACAAGCATGTTGACTCAGGCAATTCAAGCCGAACATTAGCTTCATCACTTTCCTCCGTGCTGCGTACTTTGGATTGCGTCAACAGGCTCCGCTCGGCACTTAAGGTGAAGGATGACAAATCAGAGACAATCGCTTTCGTGTAATGATTGACCCGCCCGTCGAAAGTCCAACGTGCTTATCGGGCGCGTACCTGATTAGCGGAAAACACGTCCAGCGCGCCCGGTTGTCCCTCGACGCGCGCAAAGGTGCTCATTCAGCGTTACTCTTGACAACCAAGTGCTGTCAGAACAACCACAAAGACGCATTTTATCTTCAAGAGAATGAGAGTCGCAGTGTTGGACTATATCGTAATAAGTCCAGGTTGCGCCATGCTCTCCTGCATGGCGCTACCTGGAGGATTTAAACCCCAGCGGAAGTCTTCGTCAGTCTATCTCAACTTCCCTGCCATAGCTGATGTCATTTTGACCGTTTTGTTCTTTTTTTTTTTTTTTTTTTTAACTTTAATGTAACTGCCTCATATGCTGCCTCTTGGTCAGGTCGTCATTGTAAATGAGAAATTATTGTCAAGTGGCCGACCTGGTTCAATAAAGGTGAAAAAAAAATGCACGATTATCATTTCCAGTACGTAACAATTACAGCAAGCTTGATTGTTCAATCAAGCTCAGTATGACATGCAGTTAATAGACACACAAAGAAAAGTCGTCTCGTGGCACTTATTGCCAGCTTTTCTAGATGGGTTATGAGTCATTTTGATATAATTAGACGTTGGACATTTTTTTCCCTGGCAGAGGGCAGTCACTCGGTCACAGTGACAAAAAGGTTATCCTGACTTCACTCCGCCGTGCGCTTATAACTCATCCAATGTTCTTTCTGATTGCTCGACTTCAAAATCTAGGAACGTGTTCTCGGCTAAATAAAGAAGCGGCTTCATCTTTGCAACGGAAGGGAGGTCCGGGCATTTAGGAGGTTTTTCCTGGATGACAATAACGCGTCCTGCCATCCCGGAGGAGGGGGACTGGACGAGACAAGGTGATTGGAGGTCAACGCCCAGAATCCATTGTCCTCCTTCGGCTCCTGAAATGCGCCGGAAGTGGTCCCTTCCTCAAGTGCCCTTTGCTTACCCCTCCTCAAAACTTCCCTCCAATCGCACGCTTCCATTCAAGAACCGCTTCCTTCCTGGGGAGCAGCTGGTGTCAGGAGGACTCAAAGTGCGCTTTTCTTTCATCGGGGACTCTTGCAAAGGCATTGCTGAGCGCATCAGCATGCAGCCACCTCCTGCATGTTTGACCTGGGAATCATATTCATGCTTAACGATTCCCTTGAGCTCTCATTCATCTTTGTACCTCTCGTTCTTCACAGGCGGGCCCCCACGGTTGGAGAAATTACAGTTCATCAGGTCTTGTCTAGACACACATGGCGTATTTAAATATCCGCATTCTCTCCTCCGTCCTCTTGCAGGAGGTGAGCCCCGAGCTGCGACCACGTCTGTGCGTGATCCGGCGAGAGGCCAACGGATATGGCTTCAACCTGCACAGTGAGCGGGCGCGGCCGGGCCAGTACATCAGAGCCGTGGACGAAGACTCCCCTGCGGAGAGGGCAGGACTGCAGCCCCAA